AATTGTCCAATAAAAATGCGAGTATAAAATAACTAATATTAATAAAATATATATAAAAATCTATATTATAACAATATGTATAATCTTAAAATAGTAATAATATAAGAAATTAATAATAATAAATTTAATTTATTTTATCATCTATATTTAATCTTATTCATTTATTAATTTAGTTATATATATTATTATTTTGCATTACTTACAGTATCCTCCAAAAATAATACTCCTCATGATTAAGATCCAGGTACTATTCATCACCTTAGTCAATCTCATGTTGAATAGTATCTGGATACTATTTAATTAAATTATGCTCAAACTTTAATTAGTATCTGGATATAAATAAAGCAAAACGTAATTCAAATTTTAAGCTTACTACAAATGGTATTATGTATATAAACTGTAATCTGATTATCTTCATATTAATAAATAGGTGAGAAAATTATTATCACCTTTTATTTGGTATGATAATAATTGTGGACTCAAATAATTGAATGAAAAAAAAATAAATGATACTTTAGGTAAATAAGTTTCAACTAATTTTGCACATAAGAGCAAAATCTTTAAGATCTTTATCACATATTAATTAAGATTACTTATCAAAATATTATGAAGACATAATAAGTAACAAATGTAAATTTTTAAATCAAATACTGTTGAAACACTGCTATATATATAAATGAAATGAGCAAATGAATTATCATACTAGCTTCATATAATAATCCAATTAATTAAAAGAAATAATAATGAAAGAAATCTTAGTGATATGTTATAATTCTATCTTAATTACAGATTGTTGCTAACTATAACTAATTCCAAATATTAATATAATTTTCTTCTTCTTCTTGTTCATAATATTTACATTCTTCACTATCTTTCAAGTCAATATTTTCATTTTCTTTATTTGTATCAATTTTACTGCTTTCATCTTCTTCTTCAATACTGACTTCTACATCTTTTTCTTCTCATACTTTCTTAAAATCAAAAATCAAATTATCTTCTGAACTATCTATACTTGTTGAAATTTCACAATATTTAAAAGATTACTGAATCATTGCAGAATCAATTGCTTCTCAAGCTTCTTTGATCTAATTTACTACAAGTAAGTATATTGGTCACTTGATTTTGCCTGTTGAAGTATATTCTTTAACAGCTTTATCTATCTAATAATTATAGATATGGTATATCTATTGACAAGATATCAAAAAATGGCACAAAAAAAATAAAAAATTTTATAAAAACTAATTTTAGCTTTGAATAATTTATTTAAGGATACATCTAATAATTATAAATGTGAAGTTAATTCACCAAAAATGACAGTTATGTTAGTATTTTTCTCATAAAAATAGTGTTTTACAGAGTCTGTCTTGTAACTAGCAAATGAATCCAGAATAAAAAGAGAATATAGATTTGAATCTTGATTAGCTTGTTGACTTCACACATTCTCTAATCATCAAATCATTTTCTTTTTATCTATTCATCTGCTAAGATTTGCATGAATGAATATACCTTCAGAAAATTATTCTTGTGAAACTTTAACCAATTTAAAAATAATAAGAGATGGAAGTTTAGTATCATCTGTGAGATAATCAAGAGTTATTGTAAAACTGATATGTTCATGTCCTGTTATAAGAATTGAGATGATTTATATTTCACATTCTTCAATAGTTATTTGATTTGGTAAATTGAATGTTATAGAAGTTTCATCTATATTTTCAATCAATTTTAAAGGATAATTATACTCAGTTCATCAGTAAAGAATAAATGATAAAAAATTTTGCTAGTTTTCAAGATATTCTTTAGGTAATTATTATGTAATTGTAATATATTGATAATTTATTAATAAATACCAAGACATAAATCTATCAATCCATTTTTGTGAAAATTGGCATTCATGAATACTTGGATATAAGGTAATATAATATTATTTATGTGACAAGTTGTGAGCTTTTGTACTAATTATATACTGAGTAATAGTCTTTAATTATTATCTTAATCTATAAAATTATTTTAGAAGTTTATTTTCGAGCTCTGGATATTTAGAACATATACTAATATTAAATCATTAGATATAAGATACTACATACATTAGATTATTTTTCTTTTTTTTTAATCTCAAATTTATTTTGATTTGATTTTATATTTATTTACTATTATCTGTATACTATGTCTATTTTTTTGATATAATACAACTATCAATTTTTCACGTATATTCTATTGACATCTTTTTTTTATGTATTTCTTGCTCATTATATATTAAAGTTTTTTCATGGTATTTTAGTCATATTAAAAGTTAAGAATTATATTGGATTTTTTGAGAAATAATTTAAATCTTATGTTTGAAAATCTTTTATGTTTGTCATATTTTGTGTATTTTTATATATAGTATCCCTAAAATATAGTACCTTTTGTATAATATATCCTTCTTACAATAGTATCCAGTTCCATACATAGTATCCAGGAGTATTATTCAATTTTAAAAATCAGTTTCTTGATTAAGATCCTAGATACTGTAAGCAGTGTGAAACAGTATACTTAATTTATAATTTTATTAAATTAATAATTTTTTAATTAATTATTATTAATTTTTCTTTCTTTAATTATAATTTCTTTAATATTTTGCTAATTTTAATTTTTAATTACTTCATATTTAATTTAAAAATATTCTTTATAATAATTCTTTTAAGATTTTACTTATTCTTAAGTAAATTAGATAAAATATTATGTTAAGAATAATTAGTAATTAGCATAACAAAAAAATATTATATATAAAGAGTTAAGAAATGATCAAGCAGAATAATTAAGTTTAATAGAAGTAGTTAATTATTAAGTTAGAGTAGTTAACTAAAATTTTCTTATAATAAATCCATATTTTTATATCTTATTTTTATTTATTTTCTTCTTGTTTTATTGAGAGAGTAATTTTGTTAAAAGTAAATACTTATATAAATTATCTTAATTTTTTAAAATTAAAAAATAAATAATTATTATAAATACAATTACTATTATCATTTTAAATTACTTGTATATATACAAGTTTAAAATAATAATAATATAAAATATTATAAAAGAGAATTTTTCAATTATTTTAATTTTTGAAACTAATTATAATATGAAAATTAAAATAAAAAATAAAGAATTATTAGTTTTAAATATAAGTTAAGTTATAGTTTAATATTTATATTATAATAAATAGAATTTAATATAGTTTTAGTATATATATATATATTATAATTACTTAATTATTCTTTATTTATAAAATAGTAATATAATAATTATTATATATTTATTATTTTCTAATTGCTTATTATTATATTACAAATCTAAATCTTTTACTTTTAATATCTTATTAAATTTATAATTCAGATCTTAATTTATTAAATAGAGAATTTACTATAATAAAAGTGATTTATATAATAAATTATAATAGTATATAAAATTTATTTAAATTAATAAATTTATTTTTTCTTAATTCTTTATAAATAAATAATAATTTTTTTTTAAATTATATATAATAAACTTTAACTTAAATATTTAAAACTATTAATTATTTATTTATATTTCTTGAATTTTTAGAAAAGATTAATTTTTATTATTATTTTTTATATTCTACTTACTTTTTGACTTTATTAAGAATTAATTTCTTTTAAATTTATCAAGTTCCTGATAAGTTGAGATTTATTTTATTCTTGAAATTTTAACTAAAGATAACTTATATTATTTTTTTATTTGACTAAATTATATATATTTTATTAGAATTATTATAAATTACTATTTTAATATTTTTAAAATATTCAATATTTATAGTTTCAGCTTTCACTTTTATATTTTAAAAAGAAGATCTAAAAGCAATTTAACAAATTATTTCTTTTGAAATTTTAATTATGACAAAGAATCAATTATAATAATTTCAAATAATAAAATAACAAATTAACTTATCTGTAATAATTAAGAAATTAAAGCTAAATATTTATCATATATCTGATGCCAAATTGAAGAAATGTGAACTCATCAAATAATATGTTAAATACTTAGATTATTTTATCTTGGATTAAGAATATGCAGCCCAATTAGTTTCAAGTGTAAGAAAGTATGTAGAAGCTTTAATTGAGATCAAGGGTGATTATATCATCTTTAATGATACTTATCAAGTCTTTGCGCATTAGATTTGTATTTTTTTGATATATTTCCCTTTCAAACTGGAATATCTCAAGTTAAATTTAGTATTCATTTCATCAAATAATCTATCTTTGTCATTATTATCAAAGACTTTGATTTTTAATTCTTTGTTAATGTTAAATAAATTATAGATTTATTGTGCTTTTCTAAATAAATAGGAATTTCAATTTACTTTATTTTTAAATTGTAATAGATCTTTGTTTCAGTTCATCACTACTTTGAGCTTGAAGGCAAATATTCTGCCAAAATAAAATCACTCAAATCTGATTAAAACACTAAAGAGAGAAGCAACTTTGGCGCGGAAAGCTTCATCCTTGAAATCTTTCTCTTGAAGCTAAGGTAGTTGAATTGGAAGATGAGTTGGAGTTTCTGGAACTAGAACATACATCTCATGATTCAGATGTAATGGAAGGGGTGATAGAGAAATAAATTCATCTGAAATGGATTCTCTCAGGCTTGAATTGGAACGGGTAAAGAATGATTTATCTTCAAAAATATACGAATTGAAATGTCTAGAAAAGGGAGTAGAAGCGAAAGATATCATTTTTAAACGCGTATTAGATATTTATCTTCAGTAAGACTTAAACTATCTGAGAAAAATAATGAAATAGTTCCCCACCACCTATGAACGAAAATGGGAGTGGACAACTTTCCGTTCTTAATTCTTCTCCGTCCCAAACGATTTCTGTAGGTGGTGTAGAAGCGATGCCTTTACCAACAACTGCTCCTATCATAACGAGCTCCTTAATATCGCCGATGATAACATATTCCATACTTACCTTACTTCTGATTGCAATTATATGGATCGTGGTTGGGAAAAAAATATGGAATTCATGGGTACGAATTCAAAGGAAAAAGGCGCCCGATACATTCAGACCAGTTATTATAGCGTTTTACATTTTTCGTCTCCGGGCTTATCCGAAGCTGGGCTATAAGATCAGAGGCCGGAAGTTAGCTGGTATTATTGCACGAGAAAAAATATGCTATTATGAATGAACTTTTTAGGTACTCTTAGCCAAAATTCTCACATCCCGCTAGGAGTACTTAATAATAAATCACCCATTTAAGCTGCTTTTGCTCACAGTTTCAAGATGGGAATATCATAAATGTCTGTTAATTTAGCGCTATAATTTCTGATATATGGGGTAAAGCGGGCTGGTCAATAATTATCTTATACATGCTCCTTATAACGCATATGACAGACCAATCTGTGAAAGAATATATTATACTCTTCGATACACTTTGCAAGCTTACTAGGGGTATCTCGCAAAATCAGAGTATATTTTTTTCTTCATTTCGTCATCTACTGAGAGGTTTTCATCTTTTGTAATTTTTCTAGCGCATTCCATGAATTTCTCCCATAATATCCTAACAGGATTACTTGTCATAAAAATCGCGTAGTTAAGCCAATCACCATGAAATATTTCGTGTAAACTGCCTATCTTTTGATATAACATTTCCCGTGCTTTTTCGAGCGTATTCTTGTAAGCACGTTTATGAGCACACCCACAAGATTCCATCATTTTGGAAGTAACACCATTCATTATGGTATTCTCCTTTACAAATCTCTCAAAGCCACAACTTGGCCTTGTTTTGAGCATAATCATCGATCTGCTTATATTTCTCGTCTGATTCTTCGATTTGCATAATTCTACTTGAGGATGCTGGCTCGTACTTCTTGTCGTACATGATAAATCGGGCACAGAGTCCCAATAATAGTTTTTTCGAATAATGATATAAATCTAGCTCCTTTCCCAATTCCTTAGCCACATCCACAAATTCCATTTTATCGCCTTCAGTTGGGTATAACTTTCTACCATGTAAATCAAAAGTCATGTCAGGATGGGTTACTACATAACTAAAGTGCTCGGAATCTTATTTCCCTTTCATCCGTCTCATAAATCGCTGGACACATTTGTTGTCTACATTAGGTTTCCATGCATCGGTCTCCATAAACTGCTCGAAATTCCATTGCTTGGGATTAGTTATGGCATCCCTGAGAACGTCTTCAACAATTTTATGGAGGGAGCGCTCATTATTGGCATCTGACTTCATTCATAATCCGTTCACCTATAATCTTAAAAAGTTGGGATTAGCCTTGTTTTACAGTATCAAATTCCTCTAATGAACGGCTCTGAATTAAAGTTTGCATGGGGGTTCCAAAATATTTTATCTTTCCAGTAAACACTACTGGAATAATACTTCTTCATAAGCCATCTTCAGATAATCCGATTTAGTTTTTAGTCTAAGAAAGCTGTTTACTTCATTGCGCAATTTCTCCATTATGCCCATAGTAATCTTGACCATTTCGGTCCAGTACTCTAGTTTCGAGATGGTGCCTTCCCCGTTGTTGTAGGCTAAATCACATTTCTCATAACAGGAATCTGGTCAAGTGAGATATAGGGAATCGGTATCACCATATTTTATCCCAAAAACTTTTCTTTTTCACGAATTCTGCAACGAGTCTGATATTTTCTTGCCCAGCCGAAGTAACACCCTCAGCGAGTTCAAGTTTATAGAACGGGGAATTACTATTGCCCGTCTCACCATACAAATGAATTCATATACAATTTAACTGCTTTCTACTTTGAGCTCAAAGAATTGTGATCGAAGCAGACGGAATCGTATTCTTTCCTGAAATCATCATAGGACGAATCAATAAAAGGATTCAAGATGTCGGCCATTTCGGCATGCTTCTTATCTATTGTTGAGGATAAAACATCTTTGATTGCGCCTGCTACTGAAAAAGATTCGCTGAGGCTAGTCGAATCCATTCTACTTTTAACTAACCCTATATAGTCCTTTTCTTTCCAAGGGGTTTTAGCTGGGCCTTTATTTCATTTCGCATATTAAGCAAATTTTCTAATATTTTCGGAAACAGACCTTTCTGATCAGATTTATTCTCATGTCGTATGGTCCAGGCTCGCAAGTCTCGACCATTAAAGCGAAATTCGATTTTGTGAAGTACTTTGTTTTCTCTCATTCATTCTCTCAACACCCTCTCCCAATTCAACACATGATAATTCAGGGCTACTATTAATGATATTAGTATTATTTCCTCAAGCCTTTACCAAATTTGAATTGTTCATATGAATTTGAGAATATATTTCATCAAACAATTAAATAATTGTAGTTTACTGACTGGTGAAAGTTATATATTAGTAATAGATATTTGAGATGAAGTAATAATAGGTGAATGACAAAAAAGAGACTAACTGCTAAAGAACTAGAAAACATTAGATCTATCATTTATCAATACTAAAAGCTCTTTAGAATATCGAAAAAATTCACAGAGAAATTTGTATATCATAATTTTCATCTTGGAAATATATTGATCGACTTTTTAAAGTCACTAAATCATGACGATATAAGGTGTCACGGCGTTGTCGTGTGATGCACTATATTAACGTATGATTGCTCATATCGATATTATTGAATAACGATAACTTGCTTCTCACTGCGGTCACTGCGGTCACTGCGGGGTGTGTGCGTTTGCGACTATATATAGCGATAGTATATCGCACTTTTTTATTATCGTCCTTTTGTCCTTTTTGTCTTTTTCTCCTTTTTCTGCTTATTTTATCGTTCTATTTAACGACCAAGAGCCAAAGAAACAATTAATAGTAGAGACCACAAATAAATATCATAAAGCCTACCAAAAATGTCTGAAAATGAAAGCTTTAAACCTTATAAGCGACCTAGCTACGGGACCAAGGGTCGTAAAGCTGTATTTCGCATCAACTACTTTGAAGTGAAAAAATCTCCAAAAGACGCAAAATGGCTCAAATATGCGGTCGAAATCAAGAAGGCTTTTGTTGGAACTGAAGGTGGTTCCGATACGCGAGCCAATACGCGACAAGAGCCAAGACCTCTGAAAATAGAAATCAAGCGTAAAGCGTTTAAAGAGCTTGAAAAGAAAAAAGGAAAAGAATTATTTCAAAACGTTGCATACTTTTTCGACGGCGAAAAAACGTTGTACACCAATAAATCCATCAATATGAAAACAAACTTCTTCACTAGCTCGGTATTACTTGATGATGAACAGGATTTGAAAGGCAGGCCGGGCGAGTATATGGTGCAAATTATTGCGATCCAAGATCCACTCGAGCTCGATACACTCGATACTTACCTGCAAGCGAAAACTTTTCGTTGGGATTTCTTCAATATGGATAGTGTAACGGCGCTAAATGATTTGATGCATACATCTCCCTCCTGCAAGTATTTCCAATCCAAAGATCTGATTTTGGACCCGAATACTCGTAAATCGTTAGGTGGCGGTATGGAATTATGGGCAGGCTTCTTTGAGAGTGTTCGCCCTGGGCAAAAATCGTTCTTTGTAAACGTGAATCGTACTCATAGTGTATTCTATGAGAAAAAAGATTTGGTTAAGTTCTTGTGTGAATTTCTCGGGCTTCGTGATTTGCCTCAAACCTTCACTGAAGATCAAAAAAAAAGAATCAATAAAGTCCTTACCGGATTGAAAGTCAGACCACTGCATCGACCAAACATCAAATGTAAACAATCAATTGGGCGTATTTCTCCAAGGAAAGCAATAGAACATACATTTACGCTTAGAGATTCGGAAAAAACTACAAATGTAAAGGAGTATTTTAAAGATACTTACAATATCGTGCTTAAATACCCTCATGTGATGGAAATTCAGTCGAGAAATACAGAAGTTTGGCCACTTGAATGCTGTGAACTTGTCGAGGGACAACGTGTTCAACTGAAAAATCTTAATGGTGATCAACTCGCAAATATGATAAAATTCACCGCAGTTCTTCCTAAAATTAATATGGAGATAATCTTGAATCAAGGTGTCGACCATGTGTTGGATTTCGTTCATGATCCAAAGCTTAGGGATTTCGGAATAGAAGTTGACACCCAAATGGCAGTGACTCCCGGTCGAATTTTGGATCCCCCAACTATTACCTATCATTCGTCATCTAAAGATGGTGCAAAGCTCAACCCGAATAAGATGAATGGAGCCTGGAATCTTCGTGGACGAAGATTCTTCGAAAGTGGTGCTGCGTTGAAATCTTGGTTTGTCTTGTGCTGTATTGACGAAAATATCTTACCTCGTCGTGATGTTGAAAACTTCATTATTACGTTGGTCAGGACTTGCCGTGATCAAGGAATGGTTATAAAAATGGATCAACCGGAAATCATCTACGTAAATCCAAACGGAGATTTCAGGAAAACAATAGAAAGAGAGTATAATAATTCGAGAAAGTTCCTTCAAGATAAACCACAAATGCTTTTGTTTCTTCTACCTCCGGAAGTTCAGAACAAGAGAAAAAAGCAAAGTTTTCCACATAGAGTTTATAATCGTAGACTGAATCAAGACCTTTACCGCGATATTAAAATCACGACTAGTACGAAGCTGGGTCTACTATCGCAATGTATTGTCGCTGATAATATCCGCGAAGGCCCTTCTTATTGCGCAAATGTTGCTTTGAAAATGAATTCGAAGCTTGGCGGAACCAATTCAATTCTCGATGGGAAAGAAATTCCCGAACTTACAAAAGAGCCCGTCATGCTTATGGGTGCCGACGTCACACATCCAACCGGCGGTGAAATCGACGATAATCATCCATCAATTTGTTCAGTTGTTGCTTCAATTGATCAGCATGGCAGTAGATATATTGATAGACACCGCGAACAAAGAAAGATAATAGAAGGCACCGAGAATTTTAAGAAAAATGCATCCGAAGAGAAAATTTTAGAAATGCGTAATATTGTCAAAGAACTTTTAAAGGAATATAAAACAAAAAATGGGTTATTACCTAAAAAGATTATTATGTTTCGTGATGGTGTATCTGAGAGTCAATATAAAATGGTTCTTGACTATGAATTGAAGGCTATTAAAAATGCTTGTAGAGAATTCGAAAAAAATTACAATCCTCTGGTTACCTTTATCGTTGTTGGTAAAAGACACCATGTTCGTGCAATTGCAGAAGACGGAAGAAACACCGATAAAAATGGAAATTGTGTTCCTGGAACCATTATCGATCAAAAGATTACGCATCCGTACCTTTTCGATTTCTATTTATATTCTCACTCCAGTCTTCAAGGAACATCACGACCAGCGCATTGCGTCGTACTATACGATGAAAATAAATTTGCTCCCGACACACTTCAATCTTTCACTTATAAACTCTGTTATAACTATCAGCGTGCAACCCGATCAGTTTCTATTCCCCCTCCAGTATACTATGCGCACTTGTCCGCCAAACACGCACGTACCCATGTAACTGAAGAAAGAGACGGCGCTTTTAGACTTCGACCAGTGCTTCCACTGCTTGAGCGGGAGTATCCAATGTATTTCATGTGATCGTAAGACACACAATCACTGAATCAATCTTATAAGCGTTATAATTAAAAAAAGTTTCCTCCTTTCATTCATTTCACTAAAATCTCCCTTTACAATTTCCTTTTATAAACTAAACATTTATTACGAATTTTATCATATCAATATCTTTATTGATTTCTCCTTATCTTACATTAACATAATTCTTATACATAAATTATACCTCGTCTCTTAAAATTGTCCTTGCATGTTTATCGAAAATCATGCTTATGTACAAATTTTGTGAGTTCTTAGTTTTTCGACATAGTTTCTTTTTCGCTACTACTCATCTCTTACCAAAACAGTTATTCTTTCTAAAGTATGACAAAGTAGGTTATCATCCAGTAATGTATTATTATTATTACTGATTGCTATATATTTCTCAATTTTTTAAAGTGGATCAAGATAGATCAATAAATTGATTCTATATTTTTGTGATTGAAAATTATTAGGGTCGTTGACCGAGTGTATTGTGGTTTTGTTCATTTATTTCATGTTTTGTGATTGAATTATTGGAATAGTAATGAGAAAATGTATCTTTATATCGTGATAAAAAGTAGAAAGGGCTTAAGAATTCGAATATGGTGATGATGCTGGTTATATCCATAAGCCAGATACCGTATATTAGGTTTGCATTTTATATAATATACGGCGTATAAATTATGCGTGTAACAAAAGTGACGAGTATTGGATTCAATGTGATATGAAATCATCTTTCTTAAAAGGCGCTCTATTTATCGTCTTTTGTTAAAGCGATCATCAACTGATAAGATTGGATAGATCAACATTTTCTTGTATTCAAAATGATTATATTTTTTAAAAGCATATTAAATCGTAAAATTGAGTATAGTTTGGAAACTGCCTTTACATTAGTACCCGGGTACTAATCAAGAAATTTTGATTTGCTGTATCTGAACACATGTACTCATGTAATGTGGTAACACATTTTTCAAATATGTAACCGGCCTGGGTCCAATAGTTATATTATTATGTTAAATTGAACGTATTTCTTTTTATTTTAACAATAGAACATAAAAATTAATCGTGACTACCTTTGATGAAGTTACAGAAGGTTTTAGTTCAAATAATGGTTTTTGACATTACTATATTTTTAGTCTCGATTAAAATTAGGTAATGAATCTTTGTTAGACAATAAACTCGGATTTTAATTCTTTTTAATCAATACATGCTAACTACAGAATTCCTCTATATATGAACTAATTAAACCACATATTTTTCTGTGATCTTATCTTCACTTTACATTCATTCTACTCAATAATGTTATCGTTATGTATAAATACATTTTTGCAATTCTGATGGAAAGTAATGATGGACATGTTTTTACCTATATCTTAATGAGGAATTATTCAAAAGCCATGAAAATTTCTTTAGAATGTTAGAAACAAGAATGCTATTAATTAAAATGATATGAAAAAGCTAATCTTTTATTAATATTAAATAAATTCCTTTTACTAGTAATAAAAGATTTAAATAATTATTTTTTAAATCTAATTCACATTTTAAAATATATGAATATAATGAAAATTCCAAAATATGATTAATATTATCCATTAATTTTAGGTGATTTATATTAATATTTATTTTATAATATATATAATCATTATTTTTTAAAATTATCTTTTATAATTCAATATATGAAGATTTTATTTAATATTCTTCTTGAAATATAGAAGAAAATTATAAAAATTCAATTTTTATTATTGAATAAAACAAAATATATATTTTATTATTATATATATATTTTATATAAAAAATTTAAATCACATAATATATAAAGTTATATAAATATAATTATTAAAATTATTCTTCTTTCTGATTTTTTTTCTTAATATTCTTTAGATAAATATAATTAGTAACAAAAAAACTTAATTATTTTTTGAAATTAAATAAAAAATTAATAAATAAAAAATTAATAAAAAAATAATTTTTATTAAAATTTATTTTTCAAAAAATAAATAATTTTAATGTTATTTTTTATTCTTAAATAAATTTATTAAATTATAAAAAAAATATATTAAAATTTTTTTGTATAGTATTTTTATAAAACTTTAATTAGTAAATTTTATAATTAAAATTTTTCTAATTATTTTTTAAAATTAATATTAATTAATATTATTTAATAAATAATTTTAAGTAAACTTTTTAATAAATATTAATATATATATAAAAAGCTTTATATTTTTAAATAATTTTTTATTAAATTATAATAAATTTAAAAATTAGATTTTATTTCAGATTATATAATTATAATAATATTTATATAATAAATTCTGAATATATATTTATAATTTAAAAATAATTGATTTTTATTAATATAAATAAAGTTATATAAATATATAATTAATATTTATATATTAATAATTTAAATATTAATAATTTAAATATTAAAAATTTAATAAATCAAATTTATAAAATTTGATATTATAAATATATAATAGTTAAAAATGATATATCATAAATTAAATTTATTAATAATATATTATAAATTAAATTTATTAATAAAATATAGTAAAAATTAAAATTTTTTCTATATTAAAATTTATAATTTTATTAAGAAATAATTTTTCTTTATCAGAATAAAGTTTTTAATTTATAGTTTAATATATATATTTTTTTTAGATTTTTAAATTTTTTCTGAAAGAGTTTTTTTAATTACAAAGTTATTGTAAAATTTTTTCTAATTATATTTTATTTTAATTAGAAAATAATTTTGCAATAACTTTGTAATTAGAATAATTCTCAGAAAAATCTAAAAAATATATATATTAAATTATAACTTATAAATTTTATTTTGATATAAAATAAAAATTATTTTTTAATAAAATTATAAACTTTAATATAAAGAAAAAATTTTAATTTTTACTATATTTTATTAATAAAATTGATTTCTGATTTCATAATTATAAGAGCTATTATAATAATAATAATCAAAAGTAATAACTCAGAAACTAAATTTATTAAAAAATATAATAAAAATTAAAAGTTTCTCTTTATATTAAAATTTATAATTTTATTAAGAAATAATTTTTATTTTTATATTAAAATAAAGTTTATTA